GGTGGCAGTGGGTCGTATAGGATCACATCTATAAAAATTGTATAGAAATAATTTGTATAAACAATATCCGTATAGAAATATCCGAATATCATATACGAAAATCCTATAGAAATTCTATACGCAATCCGTATAGAAAATTTCTATACGATTTTTTCATGCGTGAGTTGAAGTTTCAAAAACTTTAAATTCATTAACTGAAAAAGTGAATAAGTTATACTCTATGTGGAATCTCAAAGTGACTCCCACTAAAAGCGAAACTATTCTCTTTCGAAATACCCAAACTAATATGTCCAAAAAAAAAGTTGAAACCATAAAAAAGTTTGAAATAAAAATTGAAGATCCAAATTCAAACAAGGAAACAATAATTCCCAACAGAGATATAGTAAAATATCTAGGAGTACATCTGGATTATTTAGTTCGTTGTTCAAAACATGTAGACATTCAAATTGAAAAAGCTCACAAAAGATATAAATCTTTGGGTTATTTATTCCACAATAAATATATTAACAAAAGAGCGAGAGTAATCTGCTATTTACTATTAATTAGACCATTATTGACATATGGTTCGGAAGTGTTATGGAACATGGGAGCTCATCAATCTGAAAAACTGAGGATTTTTGAAAGAAAATGTATTAGAACTGCATTATTTCTATATAGATCTGAACACTCTAATTTTCAGCACAGAATGAGTAATAAAGTTCTTTATAACAGAGCAGAGAGTCCAAGAATCGATAATTTTATACTCAGATTAGCAAGAAATTATTATAATAAAATAAAAGACATCCCTAATGAGGCAATTAATGTTTTGGCTGAATTTCCAGTAGAACACGCAATTGGCCGAGCTCGTTGTGGAAATATAAAACCTCAATATTTCACGTATTATGATAGAATCGGTTTGTTTCAAGATGAATTGAACGAACCAGTTTTATATCACATCAGCAGACACAAAAATAAGAACAGAATCCCTATTGATGATTTTGATTCAAATAATTTCATCTATTCTAGAGAAATTCCAAAAGTTGATCTTGAAGACTTCTCAAGAATCAACAAAAAATTTTGGTGGCTGAATGTTGATGATAAACATATGAGAGAATTGAAAATCCGCGAGGAAATATTCAAACAACTGAATAAAAACCAAAATAGACCTCAAGGACGATACAATAGACACAATTTCCGTCCTCCTTAAATACTGAATTACAATCTATTTCATAAATATCAATCTAATTAATAGATATTAATTAGTAAAATATCAAGTATTAAAAAAAAATACGAAGACTGAGCATATAAATAATATGTTAAATATAATAAGTACCATCTCAGCCAATATGTAAACAATTCAATTATTATAAGTGTCTTTCTTAATTTAAGAATTCACCCTAGGTAATTAGAAAAATTACATTCTTTCAACTTTCCACCCATGCGGATATTGTTGTGCTTTTTTTTAACATCCATGCAAACACAAATCAAAAATTTTTTTTTTAAGCACTAACCATTTATCCGGGGAGACCCGGGTTCGATTCTCGGCTGGGTGAAGCGGAAATTTTTTCTCTCTAAATTCTAATTCTCTTAGAATTCTTTAATGCCTAAAGGAGGTTAGGCGGTGTATGAGATGAATTTGAGAGTGAATTTCTGTGGTTCCCGGTAGCTTAGTCGGTAAGAGTGCCCGGCGCGTATCTGGGAGACCCGGGTTCGATTCCCGGCTGGGTGAAGCGGAAATTTTTTCTCTCTAAATTCTAATTCTCTTAATAAATAAATTATAAATTATAAAAAAATAAATTTATAAATACTAATTGCAAAAAAAATTTACGCAACGACCAACGATGGAAATAACTATTATTTAAAATACATAAAACATGAAATATTAAATAAACTCGAGAGTCACTCCTGGCCAAAGTTTATACAGTCATAGAATAATGTTCATAGAATTTTGTTGATACTAGTTTTTAAGGTATGTATATATTGTAAATACTGTTTTTTTTTTTCAAATAAAAACCTGGTTTAAAAAAAAGCAGAGCACCTGTCCGGCAAACACAAAAAAATTTTCTCTCATCTCCATATGGCTATCCCCTTTTTGAAATACCCCGAAAAAGTTGAGTAATACCATTATCCATCGAAGAAAAAAAAATTATTCGATTTTCGAATGGCCCCTGCATAACAGAAGGATTTAAATAACAAAAAACTTAGAAAATGACTCATTATTCTTCCTCGTGGTACTGTCGTATTTTTATTCCAAAAGTATATGAAAAAACGAAAAAAATCTTTTTTTATTCATCAAAATCGGCCAATCTGTTCGCAAGATATGATTTTTCAAAAATTTGAGCTTTTGTTATTTGTCCTGGCTAAACAATTAATGTTGTAACGATGCTGCCTGATGAGGGCTCACAGACAGGTTACAATAAATTCTTTTTGCACTTCTAAGTATCTATTTATTCATTAAATCTATCAATAAAGGCGTGCAGTAGGGAAGTGAGTTAGGGAAGACGTTCTGAAAATTATCACTCTCTGGATTACTCAAATTATAACTTTTATTCAGTACATGTCTCAGTTCATTGATTATTAACCAGTCTCTCTCTTTTACTCTTAATTCGCATGTTCGTATGTTCTTTGGTACACTCGAGTGGTCAGGGGGGGCTTAGTATTATAATTCGGCAATTAATACCTGTTGCCTCGTGGGACATGGGCTTATAACCTCCCAGCCTCGACTTGTAGACGATGTCTCCTCCTATCTGTACCTCCTCGAATGTGGATTTTGGACCAGCAGATTCACTGACTCGACTGTTCTCTTTACCTCTACTCTACAACTGATCTCACTAGTCTTAAATTATGGTAATTTACTCATTTTTGGCTAACAAATCTCAGTTCACATGTCACTGGCACATGGGGCGGAAGTCAAGAGAGAGAGATCCTCTCGATCAGGGTCGATGGCGCCAGCCCTTACCCGGGACGCTACAGTGTCCCTTTTTCTTTGGCGGATGGCGCCTCGAGTATCAAATTACCCGTTTTTCGTTTCGTCCCGTCGTTTACAACCGACGGCGACTACGCTCGAGCGCGCCTTGTCACAATGTTAAAGGAGCGAAAATTTAGAGAAAGTATGTACTCATGTAGTACTTGACTGGGAGCATGCTAATTCAAGATTCTGAGAACCAAAAATTCCAGGGTGGCTGAGTTGACATGGAATGTCCCATATACTATTGAATCTCATATTCACCCCAAAAGTTGTTTTACGCCTTATGTCGAAAGGCACTATTTGATGAATTTTCCTAAACTTACTCGTCTGTCGAATATTCACGAAATTACCGATGTCCAATGGTCGCGGTGGCTAAATCGTTAGTTCGACTTGGCTCCTAGGAGGTCTTTTTCTTCTCCTACTAGGAGGCTACACGGAGAGAAAAGTCGGGGAAAAATTCTAGTGCTCGACACCAGAAACGAGGCGCAAACTGCCGAACTCCCCTATTTTAATCGAAATAAGAATAAAAATTCTAGATCAGCACGGAAATTTTGCTGTAAGTTGATCAATTTTTGCAAAGAAGGCACTAGAAAATTTCCCGGTGTGTCAATTTTGTGGGGAATTCCGTAGAAAATTGTGGGAAAAACTTGATTAATTCTTGGTAACATTAGAAATTTTATTGTGCAGTTGGAGAATTTTTCTAGTGCTAGCACTGGAATTTTTGCCATTCTTCCTATCCTCGTACGTGTCCGCGCGACATCTGCAACGTTCAGCTCACCGAAGTGAGTCGAACAGCTGCACTCGGGAGTCCCGAGTGGAGACTTACAAATGGCGTCTTCAACGTCGGATAACGTTAGTGTGTATTCTGTAGAATTATGTGACAATCAGGGATTATTGGGCTCATTTTTCTCTGAAAGTGTAATTAACCATATCAAATTTGTGGGAAAACAAGTGTAAAGCAACCGGTCGTAGAAATTGTTGAAAATTGACATTATTCAGTGATGACGTTTTAAGATAATGTAATTCCCTGTAATCGTGGAACAAATGCAATAAAAAAAATCTATAAAAATAATTCATTGGCTTAACGCTCATTTTTGTTGATACTGTAGTACATTAATTTGAATAACGTTGATGTTATTCATGAATAATTAAGGGGGAAAAAAATTATGGCCGGGGAAAATTTTTGTCTGTCGAGTAATTTTTCCGTTGCCGATAAAGATTTCGTGATGAAATGTCAAATTTTCTAGTGCCGAAGGGGAAATTTTCATATCTTGGCACATTGCGCCTCAATTCTAGTGCAGCACTAGAATTTTTCCCGGAATTTTCCCACAAAAATTCTCTGACTTTTCTCTCCGTGTACTAGGAGGATTTTTTAACTTCTGGAAACAGGGGTTGAGGTCTCGAAAGGGTAGCTGGGCTTCGGATCCCGACTGGGGGGGGCCTTAAATTCCGATAATGGGGGTGTAGGGGCTCACCTGGGGCGGATTCTGGTGGGGTCCGTCTCACCTCGGGTCTGGACGAGCGAGAGGTTCCTAATAGAGGAGTCGACTGTACCGCCGGAGGTTTTCTGTGGTTTCCCCCGTCTCTCGCGGGAGCGAATGTGGTACAGTGTAACAAGTCGGCCACAGCCGCAAGGTTAGGTAGAGGGTAGATGGCGGAGTAAACCAAAAGGGTTTAAAATGCCTTAAATGAAAAAAAAAAATGAAAAAAATATTCACGAAACCGACAATATATCCACAATGCATTAACTGATTTCCATTGAGGATTTGTAATAAACGCCAGCCAATATACGTTCATCAAAAAGCAAATGAAAAAATATTTAACACAGAAATTCAAAATTTACCTACGTTTCGAGTGCTGTATGTAGTCCTCTTCAAGCCTCTTTTCAAATAAGATGCAATAAAATACATCATAAACACCTTGAGAAATCCTAAAAACCCGTTCGAATTATTCTCAAGAAAAAATCACAATTTTTTTTTGTCGAAATATCGTTTCTCAGTTCATCTTCGTTGGTCATTCCAGCAATTAATTTTTTTGCTTTTGTACTCATCAGGATACGAAAACGCTGATTGGTTCATTCCAACACCTGCACTCAGACCAGAGGAGGCGGACGTCAAATTATCACCAGATCAAATTCGAGAGACGCTCAACTATTTTAGTAAGTAAACTCTTTTTTCATTTGTTCTGATTTTTGTACAAAATGCATAAAATTGTAAAGAGGCTGAAAGTAAAATTATTGTTTTCAATAGTTTCATCCTATGATTTTGAGTACTCAATCACTGTAGGAAATGTCGTAAAAGTAGAAAAATCAAGAGAAAAAAATTTTTTTGTCATTTTTATTAAACTTTTTTTCGCGAGTAGGGTCTTTTACATCATTCTTCTATTTAGTGCGATTGAAATATTATCAATGGCGTGAGAAAGAAATGTTCTACCGAATTAGAAAGCGCTCTAGCAGAGCTGTATTTCATTTTGCTTCCGAATGGAAGCTTTGTAATCGCCCATTTTTACGATCTTCTCATTATGCTTGGAAATGCAGTAAAATGTCAAGAGACGTCAAAATATAATGTTGTTAGAATGTGTGTGTATGTCACTACATGTGTGCGGATTTTTCGGTTGTTTTAAATAAATCTTCACGAAACAAGCAGCGCGACAGATGACATATGACTGCTACTCTCCACGTATTTTTTTTCTCCTATTTTCATTTCTACCAATTTCATGGGTGGTAGGCTTCCGAATGCATCCCAATGTTCATGTTATATGGCTTTCTCAGTTATCCTGATGTGAAAATGAACGGTGAAATATAGTGTAACGAGATTTTCTCGTTACGGGTTGAAATCCCCTTAAATAAGAAAGAAAACTGATAAACTTATGATAAGAGAGACAGGAAGTGACATCTAGAGGCGGCTGAAAGATCCGCGACTAGATGAGAAGAGCCACAAACCGATGAAAGACCTAAGGCATAGCGGTTATGGGTGAAACCCCGATCCCTGGAGGTCTGGAGGGCGTTACTAGACTATAGCCATATTAGAATTCGCCCAGCATGTGCTAGGGGAAAAGGGGCCGACGTACAGGCTGTCCAACTGGGTGATTCTATAGGCTATGTCGGAGTAGACTACGGACCAACGGCCAGATGAAAGGACTGGTGCCCCCGGGATCCCGTCGGGTTGATTGGTGGGGATAGGGTAACGGAATGACCTATCGTCGCTGAGATACCCAGACTGGTGCATAACTGTGGCGGCGAATATAGGGGGATGCCCCTGCATCCCCCGCGCGTAAATCTGAGTTATTTCGAAACACGAGGTGACGACTTCGTCGTGCCCGGCGTCATCTAGTCTCGGCGGAACGATTCGAGGCGTATGGGCCCGTGGGCCTGGAGTCGAGAAATCCTCTTGTCGGCCCGACCATACGCCGACGGTCTAGTACTACCCGGAGGCAATGACGCGCGATGACCAAAGCGGTAACTGGTGGTTGAGAGTGTGGGTGGTCGTAGCGTGGGTAACGTAGTTCCACCCTGGTCAGATCAGCCTCTCAACGTCCCAGGCTCTGAGAAGTCCCGGCTGATTCGCAGATAATTCGGAAACTCTGCCGAGTATCAATCACTCGGGAAGAGGCAGCATGCCGGAGGGGTCGAGAGACCCCCGGAGGAAAGATGGATCTAATTCGGTAGGAAACTTATGCCGCGAGGCATAATCCGCGGCTTGCAAATGCCGTGGGGATGTGGCGGTTGTACTCCTGGTGGACCTCGCCCACTACCGTATCACGCTGATGTTAGCTGGGCTATCCATTGTCCAGCCACAAAGTCCTCTGAGTAGACGAGTTTGCCTCAGAGGCCGGTTTTCGTCGAACCTCCCGTGAAGGTTCGGCTGGCGCCCGACTATTGAGCGATAGAGACGGCCTAAAAGTATTTTGGATTTTTCCTGGGTGAACAACCCGGGAAAATATCCTTACAATAGATGCGTTAATTTTTTTCTCACGAATTTTGGATGAATTGTTCCATCTGAAGAGCTATCAAATATATCGACCTAAAATTTGATATAGGAATGTTCCTTGATAATTCTAACTAGAAGCCAAAGTTTTAAGAGGTTTCCCTGACTTTTACCGATGTCATAGTGCGCAAAAGTGAATTCCGACCAAAAAAATTAAAAAACGACGATATCTCGAAAAATTGCAAAAGGATGGTACCTATATTTTGTTGGATCTGGATAGATGACATCACAACGCCTATTTTGAACAAAATTGAATTGAAATTAGACCAATAGTTTTTGAGATATTGAGCAGAAAAATTTCACATGCAAAGTTGAATATTTCTGAAACTACTTGTCCGATTTCGTTCATCCAGAATCCCAAACTTTATCACCATAAGACCTAAAATCGTATCAAGTTTCAAGTTTCTATCTCGATTTTCACGTTTCTATGTCGATTATTTTTTAAGTTATCGTGCGAACAAGCAATTTCAGTTTCGAAAGAAATAAAAAAACGAGAAGAAAACTACATTGCTCGGGGGTGTAATGGCTTTTTTTCAATCCAATTAAATAGGTATCATCATAACGAGTATTTTGAAAAAAAAACCGAATCGGTCGAATGGTTCAGGAGATATCGGCAAAAATGATTTTCGAAGAATCGCTATATCTTAGGAACTGCTCAACCGATCGAGCTGAAATTTAGCAAAAAATTTGAGTCTGAATAGTACCAATTAGCAGGCAGATTTTCAGCATCTTTGTCTCAATAATTCTTGAGTTATGCGAACAAAAAATCCCTGATCGTAACAAATTCGACCCTCAAAATGCACGACCCTCTACACATTTGTGTCGTCATAGTATTGTACACGGAGAGGAATTTTTTAGAAAAATTCTAGTGCTGGAACGGGAAAAGAGGTGCAAAGTGACGGCCAGGAAAAAATTCCAGTGCCGGCACTAGAAATTTTATTGATGGAAACGTGAATTTTTCCCCGTATTTCTGTGAAAATTTCACAGAAATTCCCAGAAATTTTACCAGAAATACCAAGAAATTTTACCTTAACATCACTAGAATTTTTCACAGCCAGTGGATTGTGATTTTTTTCAGTACTCGTATTAGAATTTTTCTAGAAAATTTCTCTCCGTGTACCATAGTATGAAGCAAACAAGCAGAGATTGAAGCCTATCCGACAGAAGCCATTTCATTGTTACTTTGTGTGTTATTACTTTTTTCTTTTTTAATTTCTATCAATTCCATTGGTAGTATGCTTCCGAATGGATCCGTAGCAATTCCATTACAAAAATATGAAGTTTGGTGACCATGGCTGTATGTGACCATTTACCACCTTCACAATATAATGGTCTTCAACAGGCGTGTTGTTGCTGGGGTGACAACTTTTCAAAAGAGGGAATAGTGTTACGTATTTGTTATTTTTCTCTTTCTTTATTCTCTTCTCTTTATTTGTATCACACGAATGCGTCCTGACACTTTATATATATATATATATATTCATTTATTTAATTTGCTCCGATTTTTATAATAAACATTCTATAAATAGATAAATGGATTATTTCATTATGCCAATATGTTAGTAACATGAAATTCCAAGAAATTGTGATAAAAAATCCGATAACTAAAGAAAAACACGGTATTTGACGTAATAGACGATTTTTCATAAAATGTGCCATCTCACGAACTACTGCACGAATTAATCTCAAATTCTTTCGAGCTATGTAGCTAAATAGTATTGATCACTCCTCAAAATTTGGGATCGTTAAATAAAGTTCTAACCACATTATAGCCACACGAGTAGGCTTGATCACCTAAAAATAGAAAAATAGCAATATCTCGAAAAAATTCAATGCAACGGTACTTATATTGTAATTTGGTCAGATAGCCACCATTATAACGAATATTTTGAAAATAAAAATTAAATTCGGCTGAGTGGTTTTTGAGATATTAAAGAAAAAATTTCACATACAAAGTTGAATATCTCCGTAACTACTTGTTCGATTTCGCCCATTCAAAATACCAAACTTTGTTACCATGAGACCTACTATCATACAAAGTTTGAAGTTTCTATCTCAATTATTTTTCAAGTTATCGTGGTAACAAGCGATTTCGTAAAAAAAATGAAAATAAAACAATTCTCCGTAGCGGGGTGATTGAACTTCTATACAGTAAGATAGATCTCATTTTGACAAATATTTTGAAAAAAAAAAATTGGTCAAGCCGTCGGAGATATTTACGAAAAACGATTTTTGAGAAGTCGCTATATCTTAGGAATTACTCAACCGATCAGGCTGAGATTTGGCACAGATTTGGATCTCGTTGGTACCAACAATGAGCCAAAATTTCAACTTTTTTGTAATTACGGTTTTGGGGTTATTGATACATTTCTGGATAAACGCACACATATACGCACATATCCAGACACATTCATACAGACATCGTCTAAAAACATCATATCTCGATGTTTCAGACCACTCTGAGTCATATCCAAGCAAAATTAGAGAATCGAAAAAAATTGCATTTTCAAAACTTCCATTCGGAAGCAAAAAGAACATAATTTTATGGTAGATAAGTTCGTAAGTCATACAGATTCGAAAATCATTGATAGAATGATGATGTTCATTTTTTAACAAAAACTATTTTCAGTTAAATTGCTCTATGTCAAAATGTATTAAGTCAATCATCAGCCCAAAATTTCATACACTAGTGGACTCAATGGTATTAACTATTACCCAAAATTGTGACTCCTATTTCCACCTTCTATGTGTATTGTGGAACGTTAAATCAACTCTGAGATGAAAAACGCGAATATCTCGAAAACTTTGTATGAACGGATATCCATATTTTGATTGATCTCGATAGTGGATATCGAAACGATTATATTTGAAAAAAAAAAAGTTCAATCCGACCAGTAGTTTAGGAGATCTGGAGCAAAATATATTTTTACAAAAAGTTAAGGTACTTCCTAGTCAGTTATATGAAAACAGTCGACAATGTACGAAAAATGTGAAATTTTGTCCGAACACAATTGACTGCTCAGTTTTTTGTAAAAAAATGATTAAAAATATCATTTGTACAGCGTCTTATGAGAGTCACTTTTCAACTGTTCAGTATAAGCATCGACAATGTACAAGCAATGCAAATACCCAAGAATATATCTCTACAATTTCATAATTTATTACTGCACAG